AGGTGGTGGGTGCTTTGGGAGGAACGGTTGGTGAAAGGGCTGGAGGGAGGCAGCATGTCTGGCCTTGCAGCAATAGGCCTTGTGCTATTGATGGTGATTCTGCCTTCCTCTTGTGGGATTAGAGGAGGTCAGAACATGTGGCCTCCTTGCTGTTTTTGCAACCACAAAGCAATTGCTATTAAGTTGATTCTGAATCTTAGAGACCCTATAGGACAGAACAGAACTGTCTTATATTGTTTCCCTGACTAAGAAAGAGCACTAATAAATAAAGGCAGCCCCCTCCATTCAAAATACTACCCAATGATTTATTACATTTTTCCTGGAGTTATTACAATGGAGTCAGGAAATCCACATGAGTGTATGTATCGGTCTATCAACTAAAAGTACAATTACAATACCTACATTTGTCGCAGGAGCTCTGATGGCACTGTGACTACAGCATTGAGCTGTGTAAGCCATTTCCTTGAGATGTATTTCTCTCTCTTGCTCTCTCTCTCTCTATATATATAGAGCTTCACTGGTTTTCCTTCTTAAGAGAACCCAGGCTAAGGCATTTGGTACTGAGAATGGTTCTAGAGAAACAAAATCTTAAGGATGAGCTTTTTAAATAGGTTCCCAAGTCCAAGTAGTCTTAAAGGCATTGATGACTCTGCCTCCATTAGTAAAGAGGGTGCTGCTAATCTAAGAATCAGATGGCAATATTAATATGCTAAATATCATGGTGAGAAGCAAGACTCTGAGTGATTATGTTTGATACTTTTCTGCAATTTTGTCAAAATGAGAAGTAAAGGCAAGTTGGGTAGTTGATCCTACTTACACTAGACAAAGTGGTGAAACAATAAGAAGAGCTCAGGGCTTTGGAGCTACAACGCAAGTGCTGCATAAAAGATCTCACTGTTGCCAATTGTGCTCTGAAAGAAAGCCTTATTTCTTGTAGTAACAGAGCTGATTGATACTGCCGAAAACCAAATTCATACTCTAATCATAAGAGTAGCTGAATTACAATGCCAACTGAATTGCCAACATTGAATGATGCCTGAAGTTAAAATGAGGGATTTGACAGGAAGAAACGGGATCCTGAAACTTGGGATGGGGATTTATGGGCAGATAATCAGGACGCTGGGGACACTGAGCACCTAAAATCCACTGAAACATTCTGGCCAGCATAACCAGCCCTTTTACTCCCATCTTATGAGGCTAACCTAGCTGTGCTTGCTGAGGTGCTGGTGTTGTGCCTGAGGCAGATGCCTTACAAGACAATACTGAATATTCTCAGAACCCATCCCCATTTTTGCTTCTAGACCCATAATCAGACTTAAGTCCCAGAAAGCCCCAAAAGGTAAAGTACAAAGTATGACCCAGGCAGAGGTATGCACACTCAAAAAGAGGTGCTAGATTTTTCTAATATGCACAAAGAACTGGACATTATGCGTGGGAATGGTTATTAAGGGTGTACGATGGCAGAAGGAACATAAACTTGGATCAGTCTTGAGTTTATTGATATGGGGCAATTAAGCACAGATTCTTCATTTATTTGTTTCAGCTTAGAGCTTAGGAAAGGATTTAATGGTTTATTTGGGTGTTCACTGAAGCAAAGATGATGCGGTGGCCTACACTAAATCAAGTTGCAGTACTAGACCAGTCTTGATATACTGTAGCAGAAGGTATCCAAAGGCTTAGGGAAACTGGCATATTAGAGTGGATTTATCAGGTTAGACCCATAGCCCAGAGGATACACCTTTTACTGCAATGGTGAGGCCAAATTTGCAAAGGGAGTCCCACTATCCTTGAAGACGGCTGTGATTGCTATTTTATGTAATGATGACATTATGCTGACTGGATCTAGTAAGGAAATAGTATAAATGATGCCAGGTTTATTGGTCAGAGAGTTGTGTGCTGTTGTTGTTGTTAGGTGCCAGCGAGTTGATTCCAACTCATAGTGTTGAACTGGACATGCTGAA